GTCAATTTCAGGTTTTCTTTAAATTTTCACTGTAATGTTGTGTGTTACTATTGTCTAGAATCATTTAAGTAAGTGGAAATCATTCAGAATCACAGCAAGAAGCACAACACCCTTGTGATTGCTGCAATTATACTTCCCCTCCCCCCATGAAATAAACAGACATAAGGGATATTATTACCAGAAGAGTGGGCAGATGTGTGTTAATACCTCAGAGCAAGTATCAGGCTATAGAAATGTCACAGGCATGGACTCTTCCTATATGTATAACCAGGCAGAAGATTACATTTCACTATCTTTCCTTTAAAGACTTTATCACAATTCATTGTGCAGTCCTATACTGGGTATAAATACTGTGCTACATGACAACTGTATTAATTTTTTCTTTTACATTCATCAGCACAACCCATAATATTGCTAAGAGAAGGACATAGACACTGAAGAAAAGTCTGGGTAGATAATTTTTCTCTTTCAGAGGAAAAGGAACATCTTTCAGAAACAGAATAGTGACCCACAGTAGAAATGTTCAGAACTATCAGTCCAGGCATTAAATGGGTGAAACTGTTACACTCTGCAGGGATTTCAATGCAAGTATGCACCATAAAAAAGATGTAAAAATCATATTTTAATTAAAATACATTTGTAGGCTACAGTCTTTGAGAAAGATAATATTGCAAAAAGTTTATTACCAGAATATAGGAGATTACCATTTAAGGCATATGTTTTCTTTCATTTTCAGAATCTCTTAAAAAATCACTTAGAAATTAAAACACTTTTTCACCCTCCACCCCCACACCTTACAGAGCAAACTTTCTAAACTGAATGTGAACAAAAAGTTACTGTTCTGAATTCAAGACCTACATCTGTTTTCCCTTTTGTATTTCTGTCAGGTAGGATACCTCCAAAAAGATAACAGTAGGGGGGCTTACCCTGCCAGCTTCATAGCAACCAGGATCATTGAGTCAATTATTTCCTATCCTCTCTCACCATTTAAAAAAAAAATTCTGATTCTTTCCAATATTTCCTTTTATTTTTCACTAATTTTTGTCCTGGGTTCTCTACACCTTGCCTTTTCCATAACCCTTTCATGTCTGTTGCTCTGTCTTCTCTCCTTTTCACATTTGTTTTCCCTTTCTTCTCCTTCAGGCCCTACTCTCCAGCTTTCCTATTATTAAATGTTTCTACCTCCCATTTGTTTTCTTTTCCTTCTTTCAGCATTTTTTTTCTTCACTTCCCATTCCTGTCCCCAGTCTCTCTGAAATATTTTTCTTTTCTAGCCTTTTCTTTCCTCCCTACTGATCTGCAATGTTTTATACCCTTTGGCTAGGGACAGACATTCAAAAAGCCTGAGCCTGAATTGATTCAATCTTTGCAGGTTAGTTTAACTTGGTTATGCTAAATCAGTTTTATAACCAGACAGACATCCCAGAAATGCAGGCACATGCCTACAGTGGCTCAGGCTAGAAGCCAGGGGGCACTACAGCAGCCCTCCCTTCCCTTCCAAATGGCTGAGCTGAGGGGGACATGGCCAGGGCCCCCTTAATCACAGTGTCCTCCCTAATCACAGGACACTGTGATAAGGGAGGGGTCCCTCCTTTGATAACAGAGCATTGATCAGCTCTGTTATCAGCATTTAACACCTCATCAGGAAACAAAGCCTCATTCATTACAAGCTGTCCCAGGGGGATGCAAATGGAGGTCCTGGGAACCCCTCCCATGGTGAGAGCTGAGGCTGGGGTAAGCCCCCTGAAAAAGAAAACTAAAAGCCCTAAGGAGGGGGCTTACTTACCTCTGACAGGAAAAGACGCAACACGCCGAGAAGAGCTGCCGGCGTGGTTCATCAGCCGCTTTTGTTTGAGGCTGGGAGCAACGCTGGCAGACGACGTTACCAAAAACCACTGCCTGGCAGATTTAAAAGCAGGGTAACAAGGGGGGTGGCAGCTAAACTCGGGATAGGGTGTGACGCTGCCCCCTGGGCTCCAGGATCATCAAAGAAGGAGATTGGCTGGAGTCTGGACAGGGGCCCACCAGAAAAGTCCTGGCCATCTTAAAACGGTAAACACCCAGCTCGGCAGGACAGCCGGGCCAAAGAGGATGGCGTCGAGGGATCCTGATGACCACAGACGCTGGACTTGTGAGTGGGGTGGGCTGTCACCCGAAACCCTACTGTTCCTTTCTGTTCTACTATTTCTTTCTTTTCTTTGTTCACATTGGTATCTTGAAGGGCATGCAGAGCCCGAACCGGGGAAGCATCCCCAATTGACCCGAAAGGTCAAGAAGAAGAATGGAGGCAGCTTTGGTGAACCCAACGGCTCAGAGGTAGGGTCAAGGCGGAGGTCGAGGCAAGACCGGTCCCACACCCCGTAGACACCCGGGGCAAAGAAAGACACGGAGGGACAGGCAGGGGAGGACAAGAACAGGAGGATACACCGAAGAGGCAAGCTGGAAACACATCACCTGGTCATCCTGAAGGCTGGTGTATGGCTAGGGTGTAGGGGAGGTGGAGCCTAGCGCCCAGTTTGCAAGTTTCCGTGAGGGGGAGTCCCGCTACTGGGCAGATCAAGTCATGGCAGGCGAGTGCTGGGACCTCCTTCAGGGTCAAACACAGCCCAACACTCAAGTCTCGAGGACACGCCCCGAGGCCTGAACTGGGCGTGCGCTCCAAGGCTGCTAGGAAGCACCTATACCAAAACAGGCGGGTGCACAAGCTCTTCTTAAACAGTTTTTTCCAAAGGAAGGAATGCAGGGACATTACCATCTGAGCTGTGGATTACCTCAAAAAAGCCCTAAGCAGACACTGTCCTATCTGCCTTACACAGCATTAGCTAGCATACCACATGCTGGCTACAGTCTGTGTTGTGGGAGAGAGGAGGAAGGGATCCCTGATTAAGCAGCAAGTGGTGAGGGGACAGTGGGAAGGGGGCATGGGGAAGTTAGCAGACCCTGGTGTGCCTGTAAGTCTCTGCTGGAGCTCCAGCCAGGGAGCAGAGGGGAGGGGCCACCTCTGCTGTGGAGCAGACAGCCCAGCCCAGCCCAGCCCAGCCCAGAGAGCATGCTGGGATGCTGAGGGTATCTGTTTTAGCTTAAACCAGCAAAGGGTCTGGGACAGACATTGTATAAAACAGTTTGACCCAAATCAGTTAAGTCTGATACTACATTCAACCAAGTTTATCTCAAACCAGTTTCAGCCATTTTCAAACTGGCTTATGTGCACTGAACCTCTGTTCTGTTACAGGTTTAAAACAGTTTCTGATCACTTAAACTGGTTTATGTGTAATGTCCGTCCCTAACCTTTAAAACATCCTGCAGCTACAAACTTGGCCACTTCTGAAAAAGTGGAATCAGAGCATATCCAAAACCAGCTATAATAGCACTCATCAGTAATTTTTAAAACATGTTCTTCCCCTTTTCACTGCATTCATGTACAATTTCCAACTGTTCTTGTAAAGAAAAAACGTATCTTAGTAAAATGTTTTAATTCTAACTACTTTTTGGCCCTTCAAACTGTTTTGATAGATTAGTAGAAGCAATATTTATTTTTATATTTTTAAAGCCAAAATGATGTCTTCTTTGCTGGAAGTCTTACTGAGGGATAACTTTGTTGGAATTCTAATAAGCTGTTGCTTTACCTAAGAGCTGCATCACACGATCTCATCCTAGCTTACCTTTGTTCATAGCAGAAAGACATATATGCAGTTCAAATACCATCAGTGTTGATTTAAGCTCAAATATGAAGGCAGGATGATGGAAAAATGGAGCTGTATTGGGACCATATTAGTACAGTTTCATGGCTGATGTATTTAGTATGTGAGTCTTGGCATCCTGTTCTCTTCAATGGATTAGGTCCTTAGTGCTCCTCCCACAACATTTAATAGCCAATTCTTAGTTGACTTTCATGCTGTCGTATCAGTGGCACTCACACAATGGCACTTATACCTGCCTTTTTCAATCATGTTTAATAGGACTGTGACAACAGAAGGTGCACAGCAGCAGGTGCTCCTTGTGTGCCTTATCAAGCAGCTAGAATGGGGGTAAGGTGGAACCGTACTGCTCCAGCAGGACTATCAGCCACCACTGTTTCTCATTGGACCCTTATGGCCACTGGAAGGCCCCATGGTATGCAGAACATGTACCTTTGTTTGCCTGATGAGGTAATGGGGGCTTGGTCTCTTCTGTGCACTCTTTTGGGCAGCTACTTCACCAAGCTGTGCAAACAGACAGCGTAGGATGGTGATTGTGGCTGGACTCTATGTGGTAGGCTTTATGCACCTTCCCTAGCTGTAGATCAATGTTTCCCAACTGGTGTGCCGTTGGACACGTCCAGGTGTGCTGCGGAACTTGGGGGTGTGTGGCTTCCAGCGGGGGGTGGCTACAGTCAGTGCTGCCACTGCTGCCCCACACTGCCACCGCGCTCTGTCCGGACCCGTGCTGTAACCCTCCCACCCCCGGTTCTGCATTTGGCTTCTCACCATCTCCCCTCCCCGCCGCTCTGCTTTCAGCGAGTGTTGAGTGGGATGGAAAAGACGGTGTAAGTGTAGTGTGGGTCAGAAAAGGTTGGGAAATGCTGCTATAGATGGCCTGCATGTGGTTTGGTCATAAGCAAGCTTTACACAGCCTCAGGCCCTTGCCCTTCCTGAAAGTGACTTCACTCCCAAGTATGTATAAAATAATATTGCAAGTGGCTTGCTCCTGCCAGAGTTTTGTCCTGGAATTAGAAAATATTAATTTGTTTTTATACACTGACTCAAAACTTTGATCTAGGCAGGTGCTTCCAATTCAATCTCATTCCCTACTGACTCATTTAGGAAATGCTACAACTCTGCTTTCCTATTATTGGGCTGTCTTTGAACTTCTTTCATTATTTTCTCCCCATAAAAAAATCTGTACTTTCTTTAAAAAACATGAATATGTAAAATTAGAATGATAATATTTAGACTCCAGCATTTTCAAGGTTCTCTTTGTAATACAACTATTGCCTATGATTTACAAGAATGAAAGGGTACTTGTGATCAAATCCATACCATATTCTGAACAGCCATGCACTCTCAGCCTTGGTTGTGTTTTTATCCATGTTAGAAGCTCTCTGAAAAACAAATATATAAAATGAAGAGCAGTTTTGAAACACAAAGAAAACAAAATGTCAATACTAAAAACACATGTCAATCCAGAGTATACTTCAATTTTAATTAAGAAAAAAAACCTAAACAAAACCCAGCAGAAACACAACACACCCTTTGTAGCCCAGGAATTTTCATGTCTATTTGTAAATCTGTTCTTGAGCAAATTACATCATATAGCACATTTCTCCTTGCTGTGCTGGTACTTTGGTGGAATAATTCAGCATTTACTTTTATTAATAATTCCAACTTTATTAAGCAGCTAAGAAGCACTACATTCTAAGATCAATAAAAAATGATATTTCTGTAAAGTTGTTGTAGTGGGATTACTACAGTTTGCTTCTGTCAAGTTGAGATGGTATTTGTTTATGTCTTACCAAATGTCATTCCTAAAGGGATCATAATATTCCAATTATTATACCATGAGTTTTCTTTCTTTTTTTCCCTCTGTTGTGATAGGAAAACAACTGCTCTAGGAATCTGGGACAGTTTTCAGTACCTTCCTGGACCAATTACAAATACTGGTCTCCATCCTGCAAGCTGATTTTAGTAGGTTTCTACATGGAAACTCAGGTTTTCAACCTAAAGAAAAGCTTGCAAAGTTATAAAAGGAGTCTAGAATATTGTAAACAACAGTCTTATATACTAGAATGGCTAACAGGCTGTGCTCTAGGCACAATACAATTAAAAGCATGAGGATTAACATCAGGATGGAAATAGAAGTGGGAATGCTCATTCCCAACTGCAGAGCATTACAGTTATGCTACTTTTGGCTTTAAGTTTTAATTATGTATTTTTTAAAAAAGAGTTCATTCTTATATTGTCCATGGAATGGAAACATTTTCTTTATGTATTATTCAACCCAGTTCATCTCATTATTTCTCTACTTTGATCTCATACATTCATTATGAAGCATATAATACTGAAGATCATAGTGATGGGCTCAGTCTTTCACTTTAAGGGTCTGTGAGAATATTTCAGTTGCTTTCATTGGGGTTTGTATAAGGCCCAATACTAGCAAAACTCCACTGTGATCAGTGGTGGTTTTCTGGATATAAGAATTGCAGAAGTAACCTATAACTGTAGCACAGAGTCCAGGTTTTATTCAGGGGAGCTGATTCATCACCCGCTGAGTTGAGTGTTCTTGTATGATGCTTAAGAACTAACCAAGAATGGCTGGTGCTAGTGAGTACTACCAAAAGACGAATAGTAGATGATCCTGTAATCTCTGAAAAATCTAAATTAGGGGGTCATAATCTGTGGTCTGCAGGCAGGATCCAGGCCATGGAGCCACTTGATCTAGCCCATGAATGTGGGATGTTTTCTTTTTTGTGGTGGGTGGGCTCCAGCAGCATTTGATGGTGGGGCCTTTTCCCAGACCACAGCAGAGAGAAGCAGCAGTGACAGGAACTTCTCCTATACTGCGGCTGTAGCAGCCTAAAAAAGTTGCTGATCACTGGTCTAAATCAATAAAACAGAGGGTAAAAGAAGGAAAAAAAACCCAATATGAGAACATCACGTCGGTTCCAAAACATTTTGGTGTTTTTAATTAAAAGGGATAAAATAAATGGAAAAGAAAAGTGAAATGTGAGGGGACACTGAAAGGAAGGAGGATGAAGTAGACAGAGCCAGAGAGGAGGAGGGGCAGGCATGGGTGAAACTGAGGAGAAGAGATCATGAGGATGGAGATGGTTACAGTCAGTCAGCACAGGGCAGAAAAAATCTGTCAAAAGTGAAGTATATTCTCTGCGTGACCAAAGGTCCTTGCTTTGACTGCTGCTGCTCCTCCCAACTGGAGTCTGGATAGTTTTTCTGTATGGCTGCAGTGATTGTGTGGAGTCTGGATACAAGGGAAACACCAACAGGGACTCAAAGGCTAGGGACAGACGTTCAAAAAGCCTGAGTCTGAATTGATTCAATCTTTGCAGGTTAGTCTAACCTAGCTAGGCTAAACCAGTTTGTAACTGGACAGACATTCTCTCTGGACTCAGGAAATTCAGGCACGTGGCTCAGGCTAGAAGCTGGTGGGTACTAGAGCAGCCCTCCCTTCCCTTCCAGAATGCTGATCTGAGGTAGGGTGTGGCCAAGTCCCAGCAGGACACTCTGATTAGGGAGCAGTATAAACCCCCAACCCTGCCTGCACTGTCCCAGGCTTTTCCCCACTGGCTGCTCAAGGGGGCAGGAATGTTGCTAGCCCCCAGCCCCCTGCTAGCACTCTATGGCAAGTGGGGTGTGTGCAGTACATGTATCTATTGGTGATACGGAATTTTTCAATCTCCCTTCCTGCTTCTTTATACTGTCTGCAACAAATTGACAGATGAGCAAGCCAGCAGGGAGCTGATAACAGTGTTTATCACCTCATCAGCAAAACAATGGCCTCACTCCATTAGTTCAAACTCTTCTTAAACAGCTGACCGGCTGACCTGTTGATTAGCTCCAAAAAGCCCTAAGCGGTCACTGTTCTGTCTGCCTGTCCCAGTGAAATTGGAGACACACACAGACACCTGTCAGCATTAGCTAGCAGGGCTGTCTGAAGCATCTGTTTTGAACAGGCTGCAAGGGAAGCTTTGCACAGCCTTACCCAGCCAAATGGGGCTTGGGGCTGTGGGCTTGGGGCCCCAGTGGGGAGCAGGAAGGGGCCATGGGTGGCTCATGCAGGGGAGGGGGAGGGCCACTGCCCTTTGTGCAGGTGAGGAAACCCCCATGCAGATCTCCGATTCCTGTCACGCAGGATCACAGGGCAAGGAAGCAGCACAGAGCAGTGAGCAAGCCTGATGGTCCCTGCAGCATTACTCAGCTCTGCAGGGAGCAGAGATCCATGTTGGGGGTCTCCTTCCTGCTGTTGCCCAGGATCTCTGCTCCCTGCAGAGTCAGGTCATGCAGCAGGGACCAGCACTGCCTTGCCATGTGACCTGGCTTTGCAGAGAGCAGAGATTCATACTAGGGTCTCTTTGCCTCTGCTGCCTGCACAGGGCAGGCAGCAGAGGAGACCCCTGGTCTCCCCTGGGCAGTAGCAGCAAGGAGACCCCTGGTGTGGATCTCTGCTCCCTGTGGAGCCAAGTCACTTGGCAGGGCAGCAGCATACAGCTTTTTCCCTGCAAGCCCGGCTCTGAAATGCCAACATTTTCTGAAACATTTCCAAAATGTTTGAGATGCCTCATTTCATTTTGGAGATGTTCCTGAGCCTTTCATGTCAATTTGGATTTGGTGTTTCAGGTGCTGAAATGGCCTGAAACACCTCTGAAACAAAATGGCTGCCGAAATTCTGCACAGCTGTATTAACTAGCATACCACATGGCTGGGGTCCATGCTGTGGGAGATGGGAGAGGGGGAGAGCCTGGGGAAGCCAGGCAGACCCTGCTGTGTCTGCAGTCTTTACAGGAAATCCCTGCTTCAGCAGTGAGCAGTGAGCGGGGGGTGGAGCAAGTGGAAGCCAGGCAGACCCTGCTCTGCCTGCCGTCTCTGCTGGAGCTCCAGCCAGGGAGCAGAGGGGCAGGGCCAGCTCTGCTGTGAAGCAGAGAGCTCCACCTAGCCCAGAGAGCACACCAGGATGCTGGTGGAGTCTGGTTTATCTTAAACCAGCAAGGGGTCTGGGACAGGCATTTCATAAACCAGTTTGAGCCAAATCAGTAAAGTCTGATACTACATTCAACTAGGATTATCTCAGACTACTTACAGCCATTTTCAAACTGGTTTATGTGTACTGAACATCTGTTCTGTTGCCAGTTTAAACCAGTTTCTGATCGCTTAAACCAGTTTATGTGTAATGTCTGCCCCTAGCCAAAGATTCATAGATTCAAAGAAGTAGGGTCAGAAGGGACCTTGTAGATCATCAAGTCCGACCCCCTGCCCTGGGCAGGAGACAAAACCAGGCTCAAATTGACCCCGGCCAGGTAGACATCAAGCCTCCTCTTAAAGACCTGCAGGGTAGGAGCCATCACAACTTCCCTTGGAAGTTGGTTCCAGATCCTAGCCACCCTGACTGTGACGTACAGCTTTTTCCCTGGAAGCCCGGCTCTGAAATGCTGACATTTTCGGAAACATTTCCAAAACGTGTCTGTCTAGGCAGGACCACTCACTGTCAGCTCCCACCCAGGTCCTGGTTTGCCACTGTGGAGACTGGCTTTCAGGCTTCTTCCAGTGACAAGCAGATGGGGGAGTGCCTGCGATGTGAGTGGTGTCTCTTGGTGGTGTCTATCAGGGAATGGGCAAGAGAGCTACAGGAGAAGGTGGCAAGGCTCCAAAGCATCTTCTGCTATGAGGAATAAATTGATTTGATGCTGTAGGAGATCTCTAGGACTGCAGAGGAATGGCTGCTAGAGGCAGCATTAAAGAAGAAAAAGGACATGGACTCCCAGGGAGGTGGAAGCTGGAAGCTTGTGACCTCTGGCAGCAAGCAGAAGTCTTCATCTCTACCAACAGTGATTTGCCTGGAGAACAGATATTGAGCCTAAGCAACAGAGGAGAAGGAGCATGTTCCATTGGTGGCAGAGGCCAGTCCAGGCATCCCCAAGGTTGGGAGGATTGAGACCACTGCCACCAAGAGGAAGCTAGAGGTGCTGGTGGTTGGAGACACCGTTCTGTGGGGATGGAGGCATCCATCTGCTGGCTTGACTTGTTGTCTGCTGGGAGGCCTGCTGCTTGCCTGAAACCCTGATCTGACATGTCACAGGGGGGTTACCAAGACTCATCCAACCCTCTGATTACTACCCCATGCTGCTCACATGGGCACCAATGATACTGCTAGTGGTGACCCTGAGCAGATCAAAAGTGATTACAAGGTTCTGGGTGCAAGGGTGAAGGAGACAGATATTATTGCAACTGGCTTGTTCTTGCTAGAGTTTTATGTCCTGGAATTAGAAAATATTAATTTGTTTTAACACACTGACTAAAAACTTTGATCTAGGCAGATGCTCCCAAGTCAATCTCATTCCCTATCGTCTCATTTAGGAAAATGCTACAACTC